TATAATACATACAAAAATTTCGTTTTCCTTCGAATTTTCAATACTCAATTATAAAAATATGAATTTTTATAATTTTTGTAATTGCTCTATAATTACTAGATAATGCTGCTTATCTTCGTGTATTGCTAATTGTATGCGTACATTTTATAAAATATTGAACTATTGCATATCAAATTTTTTTGAAATACTAAATTTCAGTGTAGAAAAAATTTATCAGTGTAGAATCTAAATTAGAAACCTCAACAATGTATAATAGTACGATTATCTACACCTTATTTGAGGTGCAAGCGAGGCTCACCAAAAGTTTGCGAGACTAGTAGGAATTCACACGATTGGAACTTCAAACATATATAGCATGGAGTTGGGAAATATTTATCTAAGATAATTGGCCGATTGAAATCTTGTTATCCCAATGCTTTATCTGAATAACAATTATTATTTGTTAGTCGCAGTAAACCGTTTCAAGCTTTTATTCAAATAATTTATTGGAATAACAATACAAATAATTTTCAACAAATTTATACAGACTTAGCGTGTATTTTTTCAATACAATATACCTATTACATGATTTAAATTGATTGTCTGAATCAATATGAAAAAATTGTTAAAATAATTAAATGATAATAATGAATAATTAACTATGAATAATTAATAATATTTAATATATATTAAATACTTAAAAAACCAGTTCAAATACCTCGAACAAATAAATAGTGATTCGAATGTTGTATCTGTGACCCGAATAGAACATTAATAAACGCTGCTATATAAAAATGAAAAATTTGTCGACACACATCAAATAATATTTTAATATCTCAATTTACAAAAGCTTCAAATAAATTTTCTAATATTACTGTAACAACACAAATCATTAAAATTATTGAAAATGCTGTAGATATTTCATGCACCCATCACAAAATATACCTATCTATATCCACAAACATACACTCATTAATTGTTGCAAATTTGAAACATCAAGCAAGCGCTTAAAATCCAACAGAAATCCTTGCAAAAAGGCAGAATCAACGAATAGAGGCCTTCAATTTTAACCTACGGTCATTCACACGAACAGTGGGGGGTCAGCTAAAATCCTGAAAACGCAACCCGCGGAACGGGCCATCAAAGGGTGAACGACCAGAAACAATATTTCGTTATTTCCGCCGGCAAGGTCCGCCATCGAGCGACCGGGGGATTCATTATACGCATCCACGCGGGCGGCGCGAACGATTCAGGACGTCAGGAATCAACTTAGCCGATCTTCGCCGGCCGATTTGATTTTAGGGCGTGACGTTGAAAGAAGCAGATATCGGGGGACGTGTTTCGCTTGTCCAAGCCACGGCCTCGTGAATATTCCAAGTTCTAAAAGCTTCTCTTCCCCCTTTCTGCCCGGTCTACTTGCCCAGATGTACGACGAACGAAGGGTCCATCAC